ATTCTTGAATAAAATATTTTATTTTGAAATGTGTTTCTAAACCTTACACTTCTTGAGTGAAAAAGGAGGAATTTAAGTTCTCCTTTACTGTCACAGTATGCGTTATTGGATTTGTACAAATATGCAATAAAATCGCATAAAAATCTTTAAATCTTGCTCTGTTTTTACGAAATTAGTCTATATTTGGATCTGAAGTTGTAGATTAGGGCACTTAAATTGCATTTCAGGCCTACTGTAGTCCAGTTTTTCACGGATTTATTTCATACAATTTTAATATTATGGCTTTTTTGGTCGTTGGGTTTTGTGAATCAGGGCAAACTTTATCTTATTGTTCTAAATCGGAACACGCTGAAATTTGTATGTTGATTTTTACGATTAAGATCTTACAAAGTTGAAGCTGTGACCCTCCCCTCTCCCTTCCCTGCTGAGAATATAAGCTTCCTAGCTTTTGCGTCTCGGATCTGAGATTATCTAAAAATAAATAAAACCACCCCGTGACCAATCTGAACATGTATAAATGCATTGTCTGCAATACTTTGAAACAGGCGACTTCTGTGAGCATAAGATTTATGTAGCGTTTTACTGTGTGATTCACCAGTGTAAACATCCGCTCTGGTGAATTATTGGTTTGTTGCGCTTTTTTCTCGAACAATATTTGGACGCAACGAAATTTCGCTAATGAAATAGCACTGACCATCCGACCCTTTCAGCAAGAAATGCCTGCAGATGATCTCGCTGTCGATGAAGCACCTAACCTTAAGGCAAACATACAGACACGTGCAGACACACAACATGCCTACACACACAAACAAACAAACAAACACACAGCACTGATAACAGCTGCTCGGGATGAGGAAATCTGGGCGTTGTGAGCGTCTGCTGGAAGAGGTTAGGCTGAACGGAACGTATGCGGCACCAGCACATCCCGGTAATTTTATCCCTGTTCGTTGCGTATTTAAGATCTCAAATTTCAGCATGATGCGGAAGAGTGAGCCTAATTCACGGACACTCGGTTCCTGCCCGCACCCATCCACCCGCTGACCCATATCCATTTAGTGACCACCGGCTGATTCAATTCACCGTCATAATTTAGCACCTTCCAGCTGAAAACACTTTTTTGGCACTCAAACTTTCTGATTGTGCCGTTGGACCTGAGGTCGTCGTTTCGTCTTGGATAATATTGTGTGCTAACTGTAAGTAAGCCCCATTTTTGCAGCTTGCTGGTCGTCTTCTCAGAGATCATTTCCATCTCCGCCTAGCAGTTTGTGACAGAACTGCTTAGTAACTGACTAATAAGCATACAACTGCTGCTGAAATTTTGTAAATACGCAGCAGTGGTGTGTGTCAAATCCTTGAAAAAACGCGAGTTTCGCGTACTGAGCGGTTTTTTTCGAGGAGGCTTAAAAATCCATAGATTTTTCTTGAGATGGTTTTCCAGGGACAGTTTGCATCAACATCGGCAGAATGCGCCGGCGAGGTTCGTGCTGTTATGAATTCTTCGTTCAAAGCTGTCAAAAAGAAGCAAATCAGTGGCCATCGTGGCGAAAGGGTTCACATTTACCTCTTCACATTTCGCATAAAATCACAGAAGTTTGGTTAATTATGTGTC